ATCAGGCCGGGTATGTCCGTGCTAACGCCGGATTAAGCAGCGTCTGCCCACACTGACGCTGGATCAGGCAGGGTCTGTCCATGCTGACGCCGGATTAGGCTGGGTCTGCTCACACTGACGCTGGATCAGGCCGGGTCTGTCCGTGCTGACGCCGGTTTAGGCTGCGTCTGCCCACACTGACGCTGGATCAGGCCGGGTCTGTCCATACTGACGCCGGATTAAGCAGCGTCTGCCCACACTGACGCTGGATCAGGCAGGGTCTGCCCAGTCTGAGCGCGGACCAGAGCGGGTCTGCTCAGGGCTGCGGGCGCGTTGCGGTGGGGCGGGCCCGGGAGGACGATGCGGATGTAGCAGCCGTCGGCCGACTATCTGGCGGCATCTGGGCGGCCGGGGTCGTTGTATGCAGTGCACTAATCCGGTCAGGGCCCGGCCGGTGTCGCCCGCCGGGGTCATGTGTCCGCCCAGACCGGATTCCGCACCGACCGCCGCCGCCGCCGCCGCTGGTGCGGCGCACCTCTGCACCGTCCGAGCCCACACAGCCGACGACTCTGGCAGGTGCGGCATGACCCCACCCAGGCAGGCTCGGCGTAATGCTGGCCTGACAGGTCTGCTGCAATCTCACCCCGGCAGGTCTGGTGTGATCTCCCCCGGCAGGTCTGGTATGATCTCCCCCGGCAGGTCTGGTGTGATCTCACCCCGGCAGGTCTGGTGTGGTCTCACCCCGGCAGGTCTGGTGTGATCTCCCCGGCAGGTCTGGTGTGATCTCCCCCGGCAGGTCTGGTGTGATCTCCCCCGGCAGGTCTGGTGTGATCTCCCCGGCAGGTCTGGTGTGATCTCCCCCGGCAGGTCTGGTGTGATCTCCCCCGGCAGGTCTGGTGTGATCTCCCCCGGCAGGTCTGGTGTGATCTCCCCCGGCAGGTCTGGTGTGATCTCCCCCGGCAGGTCTGGTGTGATCTCCCCCGGCAGGTCTGGTGTGGTCTCACCCCGGCAGGTCTGGTGTGATCTCCCCCGGCAGGTCTGTGTGATCTCCCCCGGCAGGTCTGGTGTGATCTCCCCCGGCAGGTCTGGTGTGATCTCCCCCGGCAGGTCTGGTGTGATCTCCCCCCGGCAGGTCTGGTGTGATCTCCCCCGGCAGGTCTGGTGTGAGGCTCTCTGGCAGGTCTGATGTCATGTCGCTCTGGCAGGTCTGATGCGATGTCGCTCCGGCAGGTCTGGTGTGATGTCGCTATGGCAGGTCTGGTGTGATCTCCCCCGGCAGGTCTGGTGTGATCTCCCCCGGCAGGTCTGGTGTGATCTCCCCCGGCAGGTCTGGTGTGATCTCCCCCGGCAGGTCTGGTGTGATCTCCCCGGCAGGTCTGGTGTGATCTCCCCCGGCAGGTCTGGTGTGATCTCCCCGGCAGGTCTGGTGTGATCTCCCCCGGCAGGTCTGGTGTGATCTCCCCCCCCCGGCAGGTCTGGTGTGGTCTCACCCCCGGCAGGTCTGGTGTGATCTCCCCCGGCAGGTCTGGTGTGATCTCCCCCGGCAGGTCTGGTGTGATCTCCCCCCGGCAGGTCTGGTGTGATCTCCCCCCCGGCAGGTCTGGTGTGATCTCCCCCCGGCAGGTCTGGTGTGATCGCACCCCGGCAGGTCTGGTGTGAGGCTCTCTGGCAGGTCTGATGTCATGTCGCTCTGGCAGGTCTGATGCGATGTCGCTCCGGCAGGTCTGGTGTGATGTCGCTATGGCAGGTCTGGCGTAATGTCGCTATGGCAGGTCTAATGTGATAACTGGTGCGAGCGGCAGATGAAGACGGTTTTAAGGTATACACACTGAACGACTGCTGTTGCCAGCAGCGTTCCCAGCGCAGCATCCGGCGCGCCTGACCGGTAGGCTCACTGGGCACGGCCTGACCTAGGTGACCCGCTGACGGTGACGAGGCTGAGGCGACACTGACCCCGTGTGGACAGCTGGTCGTGGCGGGCAGTCTCTCGGCCACCGCTGCCGGACGCCACACCAACAGAGCCAGCACGACCTACGGCACTGCGAGACGTCGGCAACGGGCCAGATGTAAACAGGCGCAGCGGCGGCTCGCTGTGGAGATCCACGACAGCTGGACGGACGACGGGGGCGGGGAGCGGGGGAGGGGGCATCAGCCCGATGAACAAAAAGAGAGTTGACGCGATCTGGCGACCATCCCGCGGAGCAGATCGCGTGGTGGGATAATTCATGGGCATCAGCGAGCAAACGCAGCCAGGGATCGGCCGCGCCGAAGCCATGGAAGGTTCGTCAGGTGTGCAGGAGTGCAGGGGAGTGGCCGACTCAAACAGTTTGCAAACAAGACAGAGAAGAACACGGGCCAGTCATGCCTTGTGACGGGCGTCTGTTGATAACGCGGCCACCGTCCATTCATACCAAAAAGCGTTCCTCACGATTGTGAGTCAACTGGATTCTGTGTCACTACCGCACGTCACCGGCAAAGAAGATGCATGCATAGCAGCTCTATCAATGGTGTGCTACATTATTCATGGATGCGAGTGGGCGCGACCCAGATTTAGGTCAGAAGTCCAGTTGATTTGTAAGTGATAGCCATATAGCTTTCAACGCAAACAGCCACATGCTATCGGAGCATTGCATGGCTATAGGTAGTAAGTGGTTTGGGGACGCATAGCGAGCAAGCCGCGCAGCAGAAAACAGAGCCCATAAACATAGCATCGTAACATCATCGATGTAAACAACGAACCACTTTCACGCAACATAAATAGCTTGAACGTGCCAGGCAATATTGTACATATATCTTTCAGTTAACTGACAACATTTATAAATGCGAATTTAAACGGCACCATTCCGCGCCTCAAATATTAAAAGTGCCGTTGTGGCTCGATGCATCCACGTGCTCGTTTCTACACCAGTTTACCTACGCAAAGGCTAATACACATACCAAACCAATACCAAGGTCTGTTGTTCCATATCAAGGTACCATACTTCACCTGTGCCGGCCTCCATACGCAGCACCACCGGTGTTTCTTGTACCCTACTTAATATTATCAATACTATAAATACCAGGTAACAACGTTTCCGGCGAGAAATCTGAACTTTATTATTATAGCATTACATGCTGTCGCACTGATTCTCATGTGTCCACAGATAGTAGATAAGGTGGCCAATAAGTAACTTGAACTAAGTAACGCTATACAAGATAGGCTCGTGCACATCATCAATTTGCTATGGAGCAATGCAATTGCTATGACATATATTTGAAGCATACGGCTATCTCTTAATAATGATCATGCGATATGTCATGATAGTTACTCATCATAATCTTGCATTTATCTACTAACGTCATCCCTTAAGAACCCTCACAGGATCTCTGCAACTAAAACAAAATGGTCACTTCGTGGTTTGTTATTACTTGGTCTTCCAAGAAATAACAAATTTATGCCATTAGGAACATTGTAAATCGTCGGTCGGAACTCTTGGAGTTACAAGCACGGATAATTGTGCTTAACTGGCTCTGGCGGCCTTACATGCCCTGGCTCTCCGAGGGTTTTGTCAGCACCAAGCCAAACTTGAAACAATATGGTTTGAGCAATAGCGCAATTCAGCCCAGCAAAATCGTAAAAATATGTCTGAATGTTAATCTTTCTCGTGAGATTTTGCATGGCAATCATTGCATGTTTTAGGCTATCCCTAGTCTGCTGTTAGTGTACAATGATTAAGCTGGTTAATGACAACGAACCAGCTGGCCTCTATTTCAATATTTTGAACCTAAGTTCTTTACATCTCATCGTGAGAACAGTTTTAAAAGAACCATCAAGTTTCCGTCAGTTTCGGGAGATGCGATGTTGCACCAGTATGTCCAAATCGATAGAGAAAGCGATGTTTATTGTTCACTAACAGCTAACATACCAAGAAGGCACCAGTAAAATACCACCAAGACGCATTAGGATTCTATGTTTGCTCGATGCCGTCAATGTGTGTATGAGTCCAAGCGATGTTTTTTGTTAACACGCGCCCGGGAGGCCGGTTAAATACCCGTCGCTTGGGTGGGGTGGGGGTCAATTTGACCCCATTGAGATCTCAGGATTCAAGAAAGCTAAAGACGCCAAATACACAGGGTGTGTTTGTCTGCACGTAAACTGACTTAAATCAAAGTTTGAGGTTCCTAGATTATGATCTTTTGTTCAGATAGGGTCAAACAAGGCCAACCTCTAGAGTAGTCTTCAAAAGCCCCCCAAAACCTAGATACCTGCTCTAAGAAGAAATTCACAGGTACATTAAAGAGCAGTGACCTTGTTTGACCTCTGAACGTCATGGTGACCAAAATAATAAAAGACTGCTTTGAGTTTTACTGTTGAATAAGCGACAGAGATACGCTAGGCAGTATGTTCCTAACAACGAAATGTTGACCTGGCGCATTTTAGGTCAGCAACCTATTGCAAGCTTTGAGAAGCCCATGGGAGATGCGTAATGCAGCTCCTGTCAACAATCGATTCGAAATAAGCACCAGAAATTAGCCCATACGATAAGCCCCGGAGTAATAGAGCAGGTTTGTTTTTTCCTTGATGTGACCTTCATAACTGACCCTGGTTCACTAGAATTAGGTTAATTAAATGTTGTGTTGCCCAAGAAAGAATCTCGGAGATGTATGGCTTCGTCTAACACTCCGCTGTTGCACCAGATTGAAAGATTCCCTAGAAATTGTCTTCGCTGAATCCATGCCCTGATTTTGATCTGCTGTAGGTGAGAGGCCCCACAACGTACATCTAAATTTTTGATACCGAACGATCCGCTACTCACTGTCCGAAAACCGTTCTGGAAAAACATTCGGGGCGGTGAGTTTGACCCCCACCCGAGCGAGCGTTGACTAACAGCTAACATACCAACAAGGAACCAATAACATACCACCAAGGCACATAAGTCCATGTATACATCGGATCGAACAGTTGTCACTGCAATGCCTGCCTGCGAAAATCGTGATGCTAGTGTTCATGCAGCTCTATACCTTGCAGACTGACACCTTACCTGTCATCGCCATCGCTGATGACTGTTGTGCAACGTAGGCTCACTCATTAGCTACTTTCACACCAGCCTCAGCAGCGGCATATACGAGCATTTTACTGTACTCTTTCCAGGGTGCCCTTTTACCGGACTCTTTCACTAGTGGCCATTCATGCCTCATGAATCGCTGTTCTGCAGTCAGGAAGAACGATTGTTCATCAAAATATCTGATAATATCAAGTCACACGTTATCATTTTTTCCTTCCATGAATGGAGCATAGCGGTCCCTCAAACGAACACTGGCCCCGTAGTCGCTTTACGATCCCTGGCACCTGCGGGAATACCATCCCACCGGGAAAACCTTCTTTTGTGCGAACCATCACGGACATAAATCAAGGTTTTGTATGACACTTTATGCTTTTCAGCTTCCTGAAATTTCAAGTTTTTGTAAACCTAAGGTTGCACCCCTATAAAACTGGGTCACGGCTGAAAAATGCTGTGAAGAGGTGCGCTCGAAGAAGCCATCCAAGTAAACACCGAAATATTTTATGAACATGTTCACCGTTGCCAGCAGCGTCCATGTTCATCTCTGGCGTGGCTGTTTACTCCACTGGAAACGTTAATAATGCGCATAGTATAGTGCATTGATAGCTCGGTTTTCTCTTTCATCCCTTGCCTTCTGATGTTTCAAGGATTATTAAAAGGAAGGTAGCATGCCTTAAAACCAGAGATCAAACGCAGCCTTACTGAAAATATTACTTCAACCCTATTTATTTTCGGGTGAACGACATAGACAATACGCTCCAAGCCTCGGGTAGACAATTCATCCTAAATGTCAATGGCAGGCACTAACTGCTCTTAGCCGTGGCTTCTTAAGAGAAATGTCAACTATCTCGGCCTGGCAGGCAGATAGGTTACCACGTTCGGTTAGAAGTGTATACGACCATGCCGTTTAAGAAGCGATGGTGGTGGCATACGCCTTATAACGGGCTACCCCGCGTCATGCTCTCCAGTTCTGGTTAGCCACTCGCTGAGTTATATGGCAGCTGGCACTGATTTGATTCCTTAATATGCTCACCTGAAAGACACCATCGGATTTCAAAAGGTGAGACATTCCATTCAGCATCTTTAAATCATATTGCACCTGATTTATAATTTGTAATATATTAGCCCCAATAATTGGTTATTCAGTTGGTCAATTGGGTCGGTGCAATAACAATTCAAGGGAATGTGCCGGCTGATGTTACATTTTTCCAGATCGAAACGGCATTTTTCTACTCTGCATTTTGTTTTATCGTTACGTCGCGATATTTTTGCAGTTTTGCCTTGCACATTAACGCTATAAAAGACCGTCTGCCAGTGAGCGACAGACCGATATTGCGACACGGCGTTCACGGCAGGTCGGTATTCGCATCGAGAACGACTGGGCATTCTCAAAAGCTGCACTACCCAACCCGCCCTTCCCCTACCCGCATAGCCCGCCTATTGGGGTGGACCATGGAGCCGGCGACGTGTAGCGAACAGAATTTTAACCTTTCACGGGTTCCTCGGAAACGTTACCCTGCCTAACTCAACAGACAATAGAAAGCGACGCCGACTGCCAGCATGTCCATTACACGGCGGTGACTCTGGTCATCCGGGTTGCCAGACACAAAAGTTTGGCAATACACAGGTATGACAGACACGCAAATATGAGCTTACGATATTGAAAGGAATCGTTTGCGTATCCCAAATTTTAAGCTTTGTAACTTCTGTTTTAAGCTAATATGAGGATGTAACCACTGCCTTGAAGGTAGCTTTTTTTAGATCTAGTTGCTGAGGCTAGCTCGTCCGCAAACGTCATTGTTATAGGATTTCAACATCAAATACCAGCTCTCTGGCATATTTCTAAGGCATCCGAGCAGCAAGGGTACACGGGCTCCCAGGCTTGGCCAGGTGTACAGTAATCCACACCTTCCCTGCCTCTTCCAGAATTTTTATGACGCCCTTGACAGAGCCAGACAGGTGTGTCACAACGGGCCGGGAGCTGTCTGCCAAGGCTTTCAAGCTCGATATCCAGGTCAGCTCTTGTCTTTTCCCGGAAAAGAAAACAGCGGACCGCCGGAGAAGGGAAATATCCCTGCAGGAGAATGTCTTGTGTCATCGGTAACAGCCAGACCCTGCTGGATCCAGGACAACTGTGGAGAGGCGCTGGCTCGTGTACATTATGACACCCTCGTTTGACATGGAGAAGAAAGTGCACACTCCGTTGACACTGGTCACCGTCGCAGGCCATCACAACAGCCTTCGTCAATTCAAAGCGCGGCGCTGTAATGAAGGTTTTCAAATTGTTATCTTCAGCCCGACCGAACACATGCGCTCAATGAAAAGCGATTGCACATGCCGCAGAAACTTCCAGTTGCCTAACAGCATTCACCTATCCTTATTAATGTATTCGGTATATGGAAGAGAGACAGCCAATGCACAGAGAGTTAAGGCTCCCCAATGACAACGACGATGGATAGAATGCAATGATGATAACCAAGGCGCATGACGCTCAGCAGACTAAAAGCACACTTTCGGCATTGCTATCATTCAACAATAAGAAAATAACGTGTCAAGACGCAGTCTTCAAATGCCATCAAATCTAGGACAGCGGACATGTTACCGCTTTTGCATTTTGCTTTCTGCCGTAACGCTATGAGCTAAACAATTATAATGGTATAATGGAGATTCCACTCCTGCGTAGTCGCTTTGCATAGTACCCTGGCGAATGTTGACGATCGGCAGGGTGCGGAGAGCTTTGAGATACAGCTGCTGGCAAAAAGCGAAAACTCTCTGACTGACACAGTCGTTAACCAGTCCTTCAATTTGGCCTCATAATGATAACATCTCAGCCTGTACGTAGAACACATCATGCAAACGAGACCACCCATTTCACATAACCGCGACATTCATGGACCTAACCCCATAAAATAAAGCTGGGAACCTGCGATTTTTAAACACAATTTATTTTGGCTGCGTCCTTGTCAATGGCGTCAAACGTCCTTGCCTTGTCCCTGTCTAACCCGGCCGTTTTACCTGGCGGAGCCTTTGTTAGCCTCCACATCTTTACCGGCTTACTATTTCCTTGCACGGTCCCTCCCCACCGCCTCCAGCGCCGCCCGGCCGGCCGGCTTTAATCACTCACTCGGCAAGGCGGAGCTGCAGGTGGGGACCGCAGTGCAGCGCCGGCACCCGGACCTCCGCGCAGACTGAGATAGCATTAACTGCCGGACATCCGGCGTCGCGGCCCGCGGCCAGACATCCGCCGGATACGGCTAGTCTAGGCATCCAACGGAGACGCCTGGCCTCTACATCCTCTGGCCACGCCTAGATATCTGTCGGACTCGTCTGGAGCCCGCCGGATAAGCCTGTTCTAGATATCCACCGGATAAGCTATGTCATCATCACATCATGTCAACATCCACCGGATAAGCCTCGTCTAGACATCCACCAGACAGGCTCAGTCTAGACATCCGCTGGACGTGTCCGGTCTAGGCATCCACCGGATAAGCCTTATCTAGACGTCCGCGAGACAGGCTCAGTCTAGACATCCGCTGGACACGCCTGGTCTAGACAACCGGCTTGGTTCGCCCTGTCCGATCCGTGCGGCCAGCAATGCAACCGGTCAACCCACGACCCGCCAGAGCAGAGACTGCAGTGGCACACACCACACCAGCACCAAGGACTGCAGCGCAGCTCAGCGGCTAGCACCGCCGCCGCCGAGGCGGCGCGTGTCGCCTCACCGCGGCATCTTATAAAATTCGCAAGAACAATAGCAATTACTTCCGGGAGTAAGGAATTTGTAACGTATGCCTGACGGGTTCTAGGTCTAGTTAATGTACCGGTAGTGATGCTTGCTTGAACATTTCTGCATGACTTTCCAAATATTTTACGAGGCTAAAAATGTTATCCTGCCATGCCACTCATGTCTCAAAAACACAGGTTGTGTCTTAAATGCATGTGACAAAGGTGTAATGACGTTTGGAAAGGTAACTTTTATGCGTAAACATGTACCTTTGTCTAAATAAGACAGCACTCGCAATCGGCAGATGAAAGGTTTGCGTAATCTGCCCTGTCTGGATTCATATTGCGTGCTTGGGCCTTAACACCACTGGCTGTTTAAATTTCAGCGATGGCAAGATTTAAGGTCTTCTGTTTTGAGTACTGATTTGGACTTCCTGGTGCTATTTGAGGTCAGCCGATGCCTGTTTCTGTTTATGCTCCGATTGCCAGTAGCCCGTAACTTAACTACATCAGAGCTTCACGACACGTGCGCTGCTTCGGGGTACTGGTCAAAACTGCATACCTTTATACACAGTTGGAAGATGATGCAGCTTACTCAAAACGTCACTTTAAGCAGCTGGCTTATGTCTTTCTATTTGCAAAGTCTGCAGTGGCATAAATTCACCGACAACTTTTGGCCTGGGTGGCTTAAGTCGGTCCGTACTGCTTGTGCAAACAAGTAGCCATTACATTTCGCGCAAGTTTTGCAAGCATGCTCACTTGCAACTAGCTCGCGGCTCAACACAAGTCAAAGAAACAAGCTGCAATAGTACGTTATTCATCACATCAGTGTCTGCAGTGTATGAGAAGCTCGTTGCACATGTGTGAGCCTTGCATAACGCTCAGGCTCAACCAACACCAACAGCGGTCCGGTGGTCTTGCCACACGTCACTGACACCATCCAAACAAACACACAGTCAAGGGTGCCGGCAGCGGACGCCAGGCGCGACATTTAACGCGCAGGTCGTGCAATGGACGGGTGTCATGCACACTCCATCCATCTGTGGCAGCGCGGCGTTGTATGGGCCGGCGCTGCCGGTCGCACCGCCCTGCGACTACGGTCATGACATTGCGACGAGCGACGTCGCGACGGCGGCGGGGCGGCTGGCGCTCTTCCATCAGGGGCAGACGCGCCGGGCGGCGCCGGTTCGCGCCCCGCCGCTCCGCTGCGGTCGTGGCACGACTTGCGCTCTTCCATCAGGGGCAGACGGGCCGGGCGGCGGCTGGCGCCCTCCCGTCAGGGGCAGACGCGCCGGGCGGCGCTGGTTCGCGCCCCGCCGCCCGGCTGCGGTCGCGGTCACCGGCACAATGCCCGGCTCAGCCTGATGGCCGGACGCGGTAACAGGGATCCCGGCGTACTTGTGCGGCATGACGCTGCAGTCAGACCGGTCTTTTAAAATTGGAGGCGGAGAGAAGCTGGCACCCGTGAGAAGGCGAGGAATCTAGTATTTGCACTGTTTTGGATCCTTGGAGGCTGTTTTCTTTTGCGCTTCCGCATTTCTAAAACACAGGTACTGACTCTGCAATAATGAATGATGCATGGGCCCTGCTCTCACTACATCACCCAGTTGTCTGTTTCATTATGCCGGTGAAATTATTCAGACATCATACTGGGCAGTCTTCTGTGTAAGCAGCCCAATAATATAGGAGAAAAATATAAATTTAGCACAGAAGTATTTCCTGTAATATGTCACACCAAGCGTATAGTTTTTAAAGGTCTAACAATCATTTTCAATCCAAACATTCCGCCTAATCCTCGCCCACTTACCTGCTTTGCCACTTGTCAAGTCACTGAAAAGGTAATTTACAACCAATTATCTCGATACCTCGTGGATAGCAATATCCTGACCGGTCAACAGTATACCTGCCACCGCTGCCACTTCTCACAGGACACGGTGCTCGACGCTGTCGACGGGATATCGCGCAATCCAGACAATGGGAATATATAATCGATCACAACAGCTGACCTGGACAAAGCATTCGACAGCGTCGACCACAGCTTCCTCCTTAGCAAGCTGGGATGGTATGGAATCGATCCCTCGTGATTAAAGAGCCACCTCACCGGGTGCAGTCAGGTAATCAGAGGTGGTGTTGCGCCCCCTGCCCGTCCGCATGGCGCACCACAGGGATCGATAGCCGCACCGATCCTGTTCAGTCTTCTGACAAACGACTTGACGTACTACCTGGTCAACTGTCGAGTCACTATATATGCTAACGACACTCAATTGTTGGACCGAGCAAAGGCGGTGACCAAAATCTCACTGCTCTCTAAAATCAAATTCAGGCATACTTTGGCATGGAGAGCTGGCTCCGTTTTAAGCCTCAAAATGAGGCACAAAAACTGACTTCATTCTTACTGGAAGCAGGCAACATACAAAAAGGCAGAAACTTTCACTCGGCTGCCCTCAATGCTCGCGGTCACCCTCTCGCTCGGCCCAGCTGCTCGGTGTCGTCATCGACCCCGTTCTATCCTGGGATTCGTACATTAGTCAAGCGGTCACGAGATGCAGTGCACTTTTGATGTTTCTCATTCTCCCGCAGGTCTATGTCTTTCGCCAAAAATAAGCTGCACAAGATGCAGGAAGCTACACATTTTGCCACCCGGGCTGTGACAGGGACTCGGCGTCGGGACAGGATCGGTCCGGCACTCCAGGCTCTGAGATGGGACCGAGTAGAGTGGTTAGTCGAGGTGCAGAACGTCACCAAAGTATATCAGGTTTTAAACTACCAGAACTGGCCCCTGCATTGGGCAGCACTTTTATCACCAAATCCTCGGTATCCCACGATGCCGATGCAGGAGGCATCGTGGCAGGACGAACGAGGCAGGACGGCTGGAGCTGCCCAAATACCGGCTGGCGCGATCGCAAAGGGACTTTCGATACCGAGCGTCGTCCTCGTGGAATAGGCTGCCGGTCAGTGTAACTGGGTGCCGCTCACTCTCCGTCTTCAAGCATGCTGTGAGGGGCGTGAATAGCTGGGCAAAAATTTAAGACGCGGTGATCCTGCGGCTGATGCACACCCACGCCCGCATGCCATTTTTAGCTGTACATGTTTGCGGTTTTTTTAGTGGCGTAGATTGTGTTTTAGCACTCTCGATAACAGTCGTGTACACGATTTTCTATTTAGCTGCATAGGCATCAGGCGATGAACTTTTCTTTGTTGTGTCAACATCAAGTACCGAACGCAAACCCGGAATAGCCATTTGATGGATGAATTTTAAAAAGAACACATACATAGACGCATGCATACAGATTATGGCTTTGCTTCTATGCTTATGCAAATCGAGTTAATTAAATTCAAATAACGATGGCTGACGTCAAACAATGTGTGTGAAAGAGTTGCGCTGTACAAAGTGCATACACGGCTGTTGGTTTCATGACTGCCGTGTTAGTTACAAGACATGACGCTAGATGGCAGAGCTTGCACAGAGAAATATGCTTTCTGAAGAAATATGGGAATAATTTCGTGTAAAAATTCGCATGTACATGTTATCAAATATTTAAATTGCTTTCCCTAAAGTAAGGTTCACCATGCCGTCAAGGCAGTCACGAGACCATGCCTGTCGTCCAAAGTAATGCGAAATGCTCCATCGCCTACATTGTCTGCAAATGGCTAGGGAGCTTTGGTGCACGCTGCGAATAACAATTCTGCTTACTGACCATGAGCTCTAATATGGCCGTCTCAGTTCAAACCCCAACGTAGAGGAGAAGCGTTCTCTGCGACTCGGTTTGCAGCTCTCCAGCAGCGTGACATTGCGCCACGAACCTAATGGGGTACGAGGCGGCGATTCCACAGGATCACCGAGTGCACCGCACCCAGCGGTCCGGCGCTGAGCCCGGCCCAGCTGTGGGCCAGCACCGCCTCAGCGCACCGGCGGGCGGCGGACCCGGGTGACAGCGCGCGCCGCCAGGTGCTGACCTTTGGTCGCGCCCATCGGCCGACTCCACCCGTGCCGAGCCGACCGCCAGCTGGGCCGAGGGTCAGTGATCTGACGCCGACCCCCGTGACCCCGGACGGCCAGCGAGCCTGGTGATGCGGGCTCGACCCGCCGCCGCCGGCCGGCCCGGCCAGCCGGTCGCGGCGCGCGCGGCCGCGAGTCTGCATCACTTCCGCCGCCGCCGACCAGCTCTCCGCAGCGCGTCGATGTTTTATTTCCGATTTGGAATTCGGACCGAATTGGAAACAGCGAGTTTTCTGTAGCTATCAAAAAATGCTGCACGTCTTGGAGGTGTGTTTCATCAGCGAGTGATATTTCATCGATGGTTCTGTCACCTTGGATTCGTGCCTCGTAGCGCAAGCCAACAAAGCTGGGGAGTATTTTGTCATTTTTATTACGAAGGTTTCGTACAAAATCAATCACATCGCCACGTAGCATTCTGAATAGGCAACAATGAACCAAACACTCGTATTGTACACGTAGGTGGTAGGAATGAAACTCCGCGGGCGCCGCCGGGACAGGGGATGCGGTGCGAATTTGCGCTTTGTTTCCGCCACGCATGATCGGACCGGTTACGTCACTCCATGCTTCCCGCACCCAGACCTCCCATCACGGTCATGCTGGTAACAAGGCAAATATCAATGCACACGACTTTCCCCAAAGCACAAATATCACAATGTTGGAGTAGGCCGTGTGGCTGCTCCCTTCGGCATGTGCACGAGTGCGTGTCGAGGCGCGCTCGCGGGCCGTACACCGAGACACGCCGGCGGCGGCGGGCGGCTCGTATCTACAAAACGTCGTATCTGAATAGCACGGGATTCTAGGTGCGTCGCCTGGAGGCCGACAGGCGGGCGCGACAAGACTCTGGTAACATTAGCACGAACACACGGCGCCGGCGGCCCGGCTAGTCGTCGGTCACGCGCATCGACACCAGCTCCGACAGCAGCTGCCACAGGCGTAGCACCGGCATGTTGATGAGGCGCTCGGCGGCGGCGGCGCAGCCGGCGTAGGCGCGCTGGCAGTCGGCGCCCGCCGCCCCGCGCGCCGCCGCCTCGTAGTACTGGGAGAAGCGCCGCTCGCCCGGGCGCCCGGCAGACCGGCGCTGGTAGCTGTCACTTTTCCTGCAACAGAGGAGGACGAGGTTATTGCCGCGGTCGGCTCTGCGGGCCAGGTGTCCGCCGTCCTGCCGGCGCTGCGGTCTCGCGGCCTGGCTTAGCCGGTGGGCGCCACAGACTGCAGGACTCGAAAGAAGAGGCCCCGTCGGTCACAAGACGCCCGCCTACGGGTTCGCGGAATTTCAAATTTTCCTTGCCATGGTGCAAATTGAGACCTGGCCGCATTTTTAGTCATGCGTCCGTTTGGCTCTCTTACATAACGTGCATGCGACTTTGGTCGTCTGCGCTGGGCATCTGATAAAGCGAACGATAGAGAAAACGACAATATTTTTCCGCTCACAGAGCACGTGGGCCGGACAACCGAGCGACTTCTGTGGAAGACCTTCGAATGAGCACCAAGCGGACGTGCAGCAAAATTCCTCCGAACAGCTAAGACCGAGCGAGAAAGTGCAGCCATCAGCCTGCATCGAAACATCAAACCAAAGCCAAGCGTTCCCGCGGGGCCCTGTCATTGTTCCGTGAGGCCGCGGGGTGGGCGGCGGCGGCTCCGAAAGCGCCCGGCCCGCGCCCATCGGGCCCGGCCGACGCGGCGCCGCTGCACAGTAGCGCAAGTTGGCCTGCTACCAGGCGCGGCCGAAAGTTTCTTTCAAGGCCGCCGCCGGCCGCTGCATTAGCATCGGAACAAGGCGGCGGCGCCGGACGGCCGTGGCGTGCGACATCGGGCGAGCTCGGACAGCGGACACCCGGCCGGCGCCGCATTACACGAGCCGCGCCGGCTCAGCCGCCACATTCTCCCAGCTCACCGCCGGCGGCCGACCTTGCAGCTGATCCGCCGTCGTATCTCCCCCCCCCCCCCCCCGCTGCCCCTCCCCCCCCGCCCACGCGCTGGCGTGCCGCGCCGACGTTCAACTCTAATGACGCGCCCCCGGATCCCAGGCTGGCGTCATGAGCGGGTCCGCGCGCACTTGAGCGGGATGCCCGCCGGCGGCCGAGGCTGCGGAGGCGGCGCGCGTGCCGTCGGCGCGATCGCGCGCCCACACGTACCTGAGAGCTCTCAGTACGAGGCTGCTGACAGGCTCGAAGGCGGCCGGATGCCGGGCAAGCTGGCAGACGACGCGGCGGCGGCAGCGGGCGTCCGGCACGCGCAGAAAGTGGAAGTAGGCGTCGAGGCGAGAGAGCAGCGGTCCGACGGCCGACGCCCGGTACTCGACGGCCGTCGAGTCATAGGGTGGCCGGCCGACCGGCGGCGCCTGCGGGCAGGTGAGGGTGCGGTCAGGCACGTTGTCCGCGGCGCGCCCAGTCGCACGCCGAGTGCACGGGGGACCCAAAATTGACCTAGATTGGTTACGACGCCGGCCTTGTTTCGGCCGGAGAACCGGCACGGTGAGATCAGCCCGGCAGAGCACGGCCGGCCGATTGCACACAGTGGGCGGCGTTACGTCAGCGCCGGTGGCCCGGCCGACCCGGCGGCGGGTCAGGGCCGCTCGGCCGGCCGGCGTCGACGGCGTCACGTACACGGCCGACACGGCGACACGGCGGGCGCGCTCACCTGGCCGGCGCCGGCGCGCTGCTCGCGGCTCTGCTGTCTCTGCTCTCGGTCGGCGGCGGTGTCGTGCGAAGGGTAGCCGAGTGATGACAGGATGATGGTGAGAGGCATCCACAGCACCAGCTCTGGAACGACAGAGACGGCCTGGTGAGCGCGCCGCCGACATCGTCTTCACTCCAGCACGTGACGAGCCCAGGGGCACACCGAGTAGGTCAGCTCGGGAGAACACACACAGCTTCGGTATCTGATGGGTGCACATGAGCAGAGTTGCGAAAGCAGCTCGTGAAGGCGTTCACGTCGTCCCTCCGGCGTCCCACCCCCGTGGCCGCATTTCACTGCGGTCTGCAAACGGTTCACCGCAGTGCTCCCCTCATTCCTAGATTGGCTGAGCCAGCATATCCCGGAAGAGATAAAGCCAATGGCGTGTGCGGCGCCAAGTTAGTTGTCTGCGGCACAAATTGGAATTAGGTGTCAGCCAAGGACACCAAACTGCCGCGGTAATTGCAGGACACACTCCATTGACTTGCAATCACGCTGGGAATGCTGCGGTCGCCGCCAATTTTTCCCGATCGCACAAAAACCTCGCTTGACCAACGACGCGCTGTTGATGTTCAACAGCGCGGCCCTGAGCGGGACGGGTGCCTGTCTCCGCGCGCCGGCCAGCAGGGTCGCGGCGGGGTGCAGGCGGGAGGGCGCGGCTGCAGACCGTCCGGCCGCCGCTAAGGCCGACGCGAAGGGCGTGTTCCTACGGCTGACCTTCCCGTGCCGAGAAGTTTCACAAAAACGGCTCGGCCGCGCGCCGTCTTCGGTCGTTTCGATAACGAAGCCGGCGCTTCCACGAACCGGCCGGCCGGCCGGCCACTCTCAGTGAAAGGTCGCGTTTTAGGGCCGCGACGGGCCTTGGTGGTGTCGGCCGCGGTCGACCCGGACGGAACGCGGTCGGTCGGCGTCGCTTTGCGGCCTGCGCCAACACGTGCAGCCGAGCCGGCAACGCGCTGAGAGTGCAGCAGGCGCCTGTACACCGGCCGGCTGCACCGGAGGAATTCGGCGCGCCTCCGCCGCCAGGACGGCTCGGGTCGGCGCCTCTTTGCACGTGCACGAGCCACCTGCGCGGCGGTCAGCCGGCCGCTGCGTCCAGTAGCGGACGTGTGCGACGCGAGGCGGCCGGCGCGGCTACCTTCGCCGGACGGCGGAGACGGCGCGGCCCGGCGACGCCGCTCCATCCGTGTACCGCGCCCGTCCCAGCGACAAAGGCCCCGGCTCAAGGCAATCCAGATATCGGGCCGGCATCATGCACAGGCCAAACACGGCCGCTGGTGGCGCTCTCGGTCGGCGCCGGCGCGAGCTGTCGGCTGCCGGCCCCGGCGCTCCCACTCGGAAGCGACCGGGCTCGGCCGGCCGGGCGCCGCCGGCGCAGCCCGGCCCTGCCCTGCCCCGCGGGTGCCGCTCGTGACCATTCGGCCCACGCGCCGGCCTGCACGGTCGGGAATTCCAGCGTCTCAGGGCTGACGGAGAGAGAGAGCGCGAGAGGGCGGCGGCGGCGCGTGGGTGGAAAACGACCCAATGACGGCTGCAGGGGCGGCGCGCGCGCGGCTGGTCTCCCGTCAGCTGACCGGCCGGTCAGGCCGGGCGGGTGCGCCGCGCCGCGCCGCGCCCCGCCACCGCCGGCACCAGCGCACACCCCGGTGCCCACCCGGCGGCGGCACTCGGTGAAGGACACGTGACCGTCGGCCTGCCCTGCACCCTGCCATCGGCCCGGTTTGACGGGGCGCATCACCACCAGTGAATAGCGCCTTAGTCAGCACGAGCGGCGGGCAATCCACTTGGCAAGCTGAGCCGGCTCACGCGGATTGCTCCAACGGAAACCAGATGATGGCGTCAGTGATCCTCAGGAACTAACTGCCCCTCACTGACTTCTCAGCCCGGTAACAAAGCAGCCGATCCCCGGGGTGGCGTCGCGGACGCCGCGCCCGTCGCCGTGCGGCGTCCGTCTCCACGGCGCTGTCGGACCGCGAGTCCCACGTACGGCCCGGGGTCCCACGCACGGCCTACTCCAGCGCTGCAGCCGGCCGCCGAGACCGCATGGCGGCCAGGCGAGCGGTCGCGTCACAATGGGCCGGCCGCGCGCCACGGACCCGCCCGTCTTGAACTGCAACAGGTCAACGAACGCGGCCGGCCACGCCGACCCGGCGTCGCCGCGCGGCCGGGCGGTCACGCCAGCAGCGTCTGCAGACCGAGACGAGCGGCGACCGCCGGCCCGCCTGGCCCGGCCGGCCCGGCCTCGGCCGCCGGGTCGCGGCCGGTCTGTCGCCGCCGCCGCCGCCGCCGCCCCGCACGCGCCCCACGTGCAGGCGCCGGCTAGCAGTGGGAGGCGGCGGCGGCGCGGCGGCGCGGCGGCGCGGCGGTGCCGGCCGCGGCGCAGGCGCTCCATGGCGCGCGGCAGCGCTGGGTGAACGGCCTCCCGTCGGGACGGCGCCGGCCGGCGCGCGGCCCACTGTTGTCGACGGCCGGCCGCTGCGTGGCCGGCCGCCGGCCGCCGGTATCACTAGCACGGTTCCGGGTGGCTAAACGAGGTGAATGCTCCCACAAAAAATAGTGTCCGCGGCGGCCGAGTCGCCGGCTGGCGGCGGCGGCCGGCCGCCGGCGCGCCGGCGGAGCCCGACGCGGCCGACGCGGCCGGAGCGGGGCGCTGCGCCGGCCGCGTGTCGGCGCGACACCGGCCGCGCGGCGCGTCGGCGACGCTCGCGGTTCCGGCCGGCGCCGACCGCAGCGCGGCCACCCTTTGACCGTACCACTGACAGCGCAATGGCCGCGCTGCGGCGGCGCGGCTTCCGGCGCCGCTCGTCCCTGCAGAGACCTGCTGCATTCCCGGCGCGCGGCCGAGCGACTGCGGCTGGCCCGCTGGCCTCCCTCCGCCACGTGGTCGAGGCCGTCGGCGGCCGGGGCACGTGGCGGCCGGCTCGCGGCCATGGGGCGCCGGGCGTCGCGGCCCGTGGCGGCCAGGGCGGCCAGGGCGGCCGAGGGGCGGCGCGCGGCGGTGAATGGAGCCAGAGCTTTCGTCTGCTGTGGTATCGGTATCTCCTGAGGACACACGTGCGGACGGAGGCGGGAAGGGCAGCTGGCTGGCCGTCTCCAGCGCCCAATCTCAGCTCTTAGTACCGACCAGAGCAAACTTTTTACTGACGATCTCAGCTGAGGGCACCCGAAGACAGGATACATAATGTCGGGACGCACAGGTCATCGAAAACTGCATTTTGAAGAATATGGCTACAGGCAGTTTGACCTTGCACTAATGGAGTTGAAACCCCCCGACCACAATTCAACCAATGAAACTAAACTATGATGGTCCATTAGAGTGCTGGCATCCGCCCTTAAAGCGGGTGTTTTTACCGCCGTCGAGACCTTGTCGAAACAGGTCTGCTCACAGTAGAAAACCGCCATTAAAATGAGGAAAGTCTGGAGCGCTTGTACCAATATCAATCTCCCAGAAACATTAACCAAATATCATCATCTGTGTGCAAGCCATATGAATCGTTGACCTACACGGTCCATGTATTTGATTTGAAACTGGCATAAGCCTACTCGATGGTAGATTGTCACTCCGTGTCACACGGAAATGATTTAGCTCACGTTGACCAACCAATTTCACAATTCTAATGGGCAGAAAAGCCAATGATTTTGTGGACGTTTGATTCGCCAATTCGTGCTCAGGCAAGCAGCATCGAGCTGCTTTGGGTGCCGTCTGTCAATCGGCATCAGCCAGCATCGCATTCGGATCCAGCTATGTTGTGCACCACACGTGAGCGACAAACAAAACACGCCCCCAGCGCGTGGACAGTGTGCAGACCTTCAGACCGCTTCACACGGCGCCGGGGAACTGCGCCGTCGCCTCCCCCCCCCCCCCCCCGCTCAGGAGAGCTCGTGAGCCGCTGTGGGGGCCGCGCGCTACGCCCGAGGCCACGGTGGGGGCGGGGGGTGGCCGATGGCCAGTCTTGATTGGCTTGGCGCGTCCGGCGAGAGGCGGCTGGCGCAGGGGGGACAGGTTGGTGGGTGAAAGGCTGGCCGCCCGGCCGCCGGGGACCTTGGTGTTGGTCGGGCCGGCGCGACGCGTGGGTGGATGCCGCCGCATGCAACTAACGCCGCCCGCGCCGTGTTACATCACGGCTGTCTGCCGGCGGCGTCCGCCGTGACCCGGCCGCCATCGTCACGCGCAGTGCAGGCGGAGACTGGACCGGGCGGCGCCCACTCCACGGTAGTCGGTGGAAAGGGCTGCTCGCAAATGCGGTTCGCGGTGGCAAACTTCGCGGTGGCGAACGTGATCGCGCAACGCGTGGTCTGCTCCACCAATAAGGTGGACTGCTGGAGATTTTTCTCTTTTGGGAGGGGTCGGACATTCAAAGAATGCCTGGATGTCGCTATCATTTTAATTACAGGGCCGACGACGCGTGCATACCGCGGGAGCTTCTCAGAATGGTAAAGGTCAGATATTTTAGAGATCTAAGGGAAAACCACCCAGGGCAAATCCATTCTTAAAAGGAGCGCCGGTCAAACTTCGTTTGGCAATGGCCTCAGATAGCTTTTCTAAGCTTAATCAAGGTTGGAATTCGCCTTTGTACGTTGCTAGGGTGTTTCGCTGCAAGCAGAGAACGACGCGCTGACAAGATCTCGTGCTCCCAGTGGTAAGACCCCAGTAGTAAGATTCCCAGTGGTAAGTAAGTGCGAACGGATCTCTGGAGGCGGTGGCACGGAGCTACTGTGACCGTCTGAACTTTGTCCGGGCCCAAAGGCTGCAGTCAGCTGACTGCTGTTCCGGGGCACGGGCCATCGCGCCGCACCCGCCCGGCGGACGGAGAGCGGCTGACAGGGTCGCCGCCGCGAGGACGGGTGACGTCAACACCTCGCGCCGGCGCGGCAACAGAGGCGCGTCGCCGGCGCGTCCATGGATCTCTGTCAGCCCCGACCGCCGTGACGCGGCAGCATCCGCCGCGCTGACGTAACGTGACGTGCCGGGCGGGAGTGTCGACCGCGCCGGGGAGACGCCCTCTCAGTCCGCCGGCGGCGTGACGGCGGCGACACGCTTGCAGCGCGGCCGGCGGTGGTCCGACGGACAGCCGGCGGCGGACTTGGCACGTCCGGGCGCGGCCGCCGCTCGCGCAATAAACAAGCTGACTGGGCGGCCGCGGCGCCCGACGGCCCTGCCCGGCCAGCTGACAGGCCTGTCGGGCCGTGACCAGCCGTGGACCACCGGGAGGGCGGGGCACGGCGGCGCAGCATGCCGCCCAGCCCGGCCGGCGCGCAGGCCCCGCCGACCCGTGCGCCCTCGGCGCCACGCCGGGCTTCAGCGGCCGCGCGCCGCCGGCGCTGTTGTGCGACTCGCGGCCCGCCTTCCTCTGCGCGTGATGCCAAGGGCGGGCCGGAACAGGTCACGCGAAATCCCGCCGAGCCGGCCTTTCCACCGGACCAGGTCCTCCGACCAGTCGGGCCTGAACAGAGCTCAAAAATAGCCGCATTGCAAAAGACGGGACGCTTTCTACCACGGACGGAGCGAGCGGGTGACGACTCACGCGACATGACCGGTGTGTAAGGCAAAGTTTACTGCGACAAACTATGGCCGAATAGGCCAAAGTCAATCACCCACAAGGAACCCGTCTTCATTAAGCTCAAGTCATGTTTTGTTATGTCCACAAGTCCGCTTCGCGGGTTCGCCTGATCTTCTGCTTTCTGCGCTTGAGCTAAATGCTCTACCGTGAATGCCGTACATTGCGCGCCATGAACATTCAACGCGAGGAAAAGCCTTAAGTGATTTAGACCAACATTGCGCCACCTCTCTCCGTTACGAAATTTCTTACTCATGCACGTAGCGAACGTGAACTGACGACCCAAACACTCAACCGAGACCAGAAGATATAACTAGTTTCATGTCGCAACGGCACGTTTCTGTAAAACCTGCGGTACCACTATGGGGGTTGCAGAAATCGGGTGTCCAGTGTGAGTGCTTGGTTTAGAATAAGGCCGCTGACCACATGCCGCATCAGCAGTCTACAAACAGAGTCAACCGCACGGAAAAACCAAGACCTAAGTCTGACCCGAGACCAGTAAGTACCAAGTAAACAGGGCGCAGCCAGCTTCGCGACAGCGGGAGAGGGGCATCTGCATCGGCGGCAGCGAGTCTCACCTCCTCTGGCCTGGGCGCCTGCCGTCAGCTGTACTTGCCGCGGTGAACGCCCGAACCTGGGCAGCTGGGTCGAGCCGCCGGCCGCCGCCGCCGCTGGCCTGCACAGCAGCAGCAGCAGCAGCGGCGGCGGCAGCAGTAGCAGCCGCGGCAGCAGCCTCATGGCGTCTGCATGGTGACCGACTAAGTGCGGTCATCAGGGCCAGCGGCCCTTAGTAAAGTCCAGTCGGGTCCAGCATGGCGGAGCAAGACGAAGTCATTCTTGCGAGCGAGAGTCCGTGGGGCGGCGGAGGGCTGCTGGGCGGCGCACGCGGTGCTCACGGGCGGCTGGCCTGGCGGACACTGGAGCAGCACACCAGCACGCTCGGCACGCTCATACTACCGACTGGCGCGCCGCTTATATACGCCCCCACTTTTCATGTCCCTTCGGCGGGTCGCGCGCGCGCCGTGGCTGCCCGGGGACTGGCCGCCGCCACCTCCACACCACTCCGGAAGTCCGCACCGGTGGCCGGCGGCGCCGCGCGCGCCGCCTTCTGCTGCGCGCTGGCGGCCCCCGCCGAGCATGCGCGCTCGGATATGGGTCAGCTGGCGGTCATTGGCTCGGCCGGCGGCGCCCGGGGCGGCGTGGAGGCGCCGTGACCCCGCGGCCCCGTCTGACCCCGGCACCGGAGGTCAGGTCAGGCCGCGGCCTGCGGCGGCGGCGGCTCGGACGGTGGGCGTGGCCTTCCCAGCCCCGGCCCGCCCACCGGCCGCCGGCGTGCCCTTTTTGCCGCGCCGCCAGAGGCCGCATCCTGGTCGCCGCCGCGGAAAATCAGGCCGCTATCGAGCATCCGGAATGGCATCGGAGGCGTAGCCGTCAGCGAGGAGCAAATGTGGAATTTCCCATTGCTGTTGATGGCAATTATTGTTAATCTTCCCATTTATCTGATATCCTAGTCGGCCAAAGCTTACTCCTTAAAGGGACAGGGTTTGTTCCCTGGGCACCTTAAACTGACGGTGTGAAGCAGTGATGCACACAGATTATGGATGCATGATATGAACTACTTATTGCTGTGAAAAGCCGTTAAGCAGTAGGCAAGGAAAGATCCCAGGAATTCCTAAGCAAAATAGGAAAAAGGTTACGGGGTCGCAAAGGATTGTCCGAAAAAAATACGGAGAAGCATCCAAGATTGCGGAAAACCATTAAACTTCAGTTCAGAAGTGATCCAAGATTTCGAAAGACACTTTACGAAGTTTTAGAAAGGATGCCGGATCCCGAAAGATCTTTTGATGCAATTGTAAAAGAGTCCTGCATCCTGCAAGATCTAAGATCTATGGGCCTGGCAAGCTTAGCTTTGTTACCGTGGGCATTTCACAATTTAAAGAACCTTAAAGCCCGTTCACCATTTTGGAACACTTCCCCCTGATAACGGATTACGGCAGGGTTATGGGTACTTGGATAAATAACGCGGTTAAATCAAAATTAAAACTAAAAGGCATACACATGCGCATAGAAACCAGAAAAAACAGACAGAAGCCAGGAAAGCAATTGCTTCAGCAATTCGGTTGACTCCTTACCGTGTCGTACAAATGTATGTAAAGACAGTAAGACCGATGTGTCTAGAAGACAAATCTAATGACATTTATGCTGAGCCTTGACTTCCTTGTCGGATGTTTGAATGTACAGTGCACAGTAAGTCCTCATCAGTCTGAAGAAATATGTTAAATACACTCCGTCCCACGCCCACAGAAATATGAACATTAACGAACGTACCGCGTAGAGTTCATCCTAAATAACAGAGGTATCTAATGAGAGGTACTGACAGAGTGAAGTAAGGGAGAACAATTAAACTAATGACACATAGGCTTGCCATAAGGGACAGTTTTGCCTATTTTTAATTTTGTGTAGTTGTTTTGCTTCCACAAACACCATTCTTTCAGACGTTGTCATTCTTGTTTGTTGAAAACGTGTCTACACTGCCCGCCACAATAAAGCCAAAGTTACGCCTGTGGGCTAAACTGACGTCAAGCCATGCTTCAGTGTATACAGTGTTATGCCTTGGTATCCTAAAGGGAATATCCCCCCTTTTGACTTTTCACCTATTGTTACATCGGACACTTATGCTTTGATCAGCAATGCCATTTTGTTCGAAATCCTTTTAAATATCTCAGGATTTCTATTTAAAGTAGCCGCTTGTACGCAAAAAAACTCCCATTTGGCCCCACGCTCACCATTATGAAAGCAAGACATTCCTTTTGACTTGCTTTTTTTCAACGTGTGTGTTCTGTATATTTGCAACACACTAATGTGTCAAAAGGCTTGCGTAATAAGCAACACGAAATTGTTTGACAAACAAAATACGTGAACTATCGTCTATTATCCTGTAAATTCAACGAGACATTGTGTTTTTGCTTTAATTTCTTCCCTATGGCGTTCACCGTAATGTCTTGAAAGAGACACTCCCTTCAAACAAAATTATTTGACAATGCCATACATGACCGATTACGGATAATGGTGCCATTTCAACTTCCTTATGTTAAAGCAGCACATGTAACCGTTGTGAGAAGTGTATTCATTTTAGACCTTGACACTTCTCAAGATGGTGCCGGGAATGGCCTTCATGTTTTCAGTTAATTTACAGATGCATATACCTTATCTTGCATTATTTGTTGGCTACCCACAGGGATCTCACTTTGAATACTTTAGGGGGTTCTGAGCCGCCTAATGGTGACTTGAGCCCAACTGATTATCTTATAAGCTTAATATGCATATGAACAAAATAGGGAAATGCTGAGCTATATCATCATCATATTATATCATGACTATCGGCATCAAACCGGCTCCAAATGAAAAGTCATTTCTCAACATAAAACCAATTTGGGAACCGAACAAATATTTTAAGATTACAGTTTTGACATCAGGGACGCAAATCAAAGCGGCCAAAATCCGCGGAGAAATCAGCATGTGAGGTAGATAAGACCAACTTTATTGACTCAGCCCCCCCCCCCCCGGACCGATTTTAGAAAGTGACATCCTTGGCTGCCTGGGTCGATAACACTATATGCTATCGGTTCTTGGCATCATTGCACAAATACTATTATGATAATATCAATTGTGCTATTTGTGGTTATCAAATTCTCCCACGCTGCCAGTTAGGTTCTATTTCTTGGGACATCGATTGCAGCACTACATTGGCCTGGATGCTGAATGGCAGCGTGCTTTGTCATTTTTGGGGGCATCGATTGCAGCACTACATTGGCCTGGATGCTGAATGGCAGCGTGCTGTGTTATTTTTTGGGGCATCGATTGCAGCACTACATTGGCCTGGATGCTGAATGGCAGGGTGCTGTGTAAGTAGACGTGGATTTTGCCTTATAAGATGCACGGTACGCACTTAAGAATATACGATGTTTGACAGATAGGTCTTAGGATGGATATGATGCATTTGACATGCGTGCCCTATCAGCCTGTTGATCCCATGCACAGGTGGCTTTTACCTCATCTTATTCATTTCGGTACCACAAGCAAAACAATAGCAAAACAAAACAAAGATTTATAATTTTGAGAGCGAGGTGATAGCGAGCAGTTCCTTGGAACGTCTTCTTATCAAGACAGTAAAATTAAATAATTCCTCGGATTACGTCATGACGTCATGTAAAACATAACTATGTAACGATGATGTGTAAGTCCATTGACATATTAGTCCTGTATCCTCCTCCCCACCTAAGTTGTCCTTAATATAAAGGTTTTGCATAGAAAATATTAAACGGTCATCCAAAATTGCCAAGATTAATTTGGTCAAACCCGAAGCATTAGAACATGGCTAAAACTTAGGTTAATTTCAGAATTGCTCCCCTCAATCTCGATGCACGTGCCAAGCCCGTGAAAGCTCTTCATTAGAAACATACTGAATACTCGTTCTGAAGGTTACTTCGGTGCAGTAAAGTAAAACTTCTTGCAATAATTAAAATCATGCATCCCGAAAGCCGCCGTGTGCACAGACGTGCTACGTGCACCTTTCTGAAGTCACTTGGCTGGATCAGGACGCAATAGCTCATGATGCTCACGCTTTGAGTCGAGGCTCTTAGGCTGCCTCGGCACCTTAGGGCGTCTGGGAGCCTTCATACGCGAGTCCTTGTCTCTTGAACTTTGGAGGCCTGAGGTGGTTTCAGTCCTCCTTTAAATGACTGGGCATTCCTTCATGAATCTGTTGATAGAGCTGGGATGGATGTGTGTTAGTTGGGTGCGGCCGAAGTGAGTGGGGAATTCATGTGTGCCTCTAGCATGGCATGGCATGGCATGACATGGCATGGCATTACATAACATGGTATGGCATGGCATGGCATTACATGGCATGGTATGGCATGGCATGACATTACATGACATGGTATGGCGTGGCATGACATTACATGGCATGGCATGGCAGAGGCGATAACGTCCCCATTAACTGACTTAGGTGCACTTGGGTCCCCCCAGGCTCGATCATCGAGTGGTTGGCTCACTGACATACAAAAATGCCGAGCACAAAAAGAAGATAACCATAATAATAACGCCTCTAGAAACTCAAACGCATCATTTAATCAAGAAGAAAGCATGAGGGCACTTTCTTGCATGCAGTTAAACCGACCCAGAATTGGGCTCAGAAGTCAGGCGAAACAAAGCCCTCTCCTCCCATTGCTCATTGGTTTTCCCCACCCAATGTTGACAAGCCGGTGACGAACGCAAATACAGGGCTTCCTCATCGCGCAGTGCGATTCTGTTGATACAGACTTTAACAATGCATGCGCAGTGTTGTCCTGTCGTTGTTCTTGAAACAGGCGATCCGTTCTACGAGCCCATTTACCTGGGCTACTGAAAGCTGCAAGTCGGGCCAGCCTTTGCCTGCAGTGTTGAAGGGGAAGAACTTCACGTGAAACGGTTGGATGGGGCTTGTATGCTTCGAGCTCAACACGTACCACATCCCATCAACGCAAGATTGAGCGCCCACCGATTTCGTTGATGTGTGCTTTCATCTATCTATCTATCTATCTATCTATCTATCTATCTATCTATCTTCCACCTAGCTATCTTCTATCTATCTGCGCTTCTAGAATGCAGTCATCCTCAAATGCAATTTCTGACTTCACGGACCGACTTCACTTCAATGACGTCACTGCCTGGCAGCACCTATGCTGTCCAAGACATGCGTGAGTGTAAAGTAATGAAATAAGCTCCCATCCGCGGAACTCTCCCTTCATTGTGTTCTTAGACCGTATGCTGACAAGCTGGGGGAGCCGGCTTCCACGTCTTTGAACACACCCAATTATCTGATTCTCTTGGCTTGCCATGAAGCTAAACGAGGCAAAACTGTTTTCCCCAACTACTCAGAAGATCGGCTTCTGTTGCTCACGACAACGCTTTATCACAGCGGAAACCATGCATAGCGGTTAGGAGCAATTATGCAATGGACTATTCTCTTTGGTACATACTGGACTATTCCGTTTG